TCAGGAGCTCTCCCGCCTGGGGAACAGGTGGATTTGCAGTTCTCAGGTGCCTGGGTCCTGCAGGCTCACAGCACAGGCTGAAGTTTGGGTCAAAAAGCAGAATTTTGGAGTGTCCCCCCCTCCTCCTCACACCCAGGGAATGCAGGAGCAACAGCCACAGCCGATTTTTCCGTGGAATTTCTGTAGGTATTCATGGGTGGGATCCATCAGGCTCTGGGGGCCTCTCCCCACAGGATTTGTGAGCCAAGGAAATGAGCCCGGGCTGGGCGTTTATGGATTTTTTCGGATTTCAGTCCAGATCTGTGGTTCCACATTTTAGATCCCCTCCTGTCTCCACTGAAAATTCCCCATCCAAATGGGTTAATTCCTGTAATTCCTGTAATTCCTGCTCCTTTCCCCTGGAATCTCAGCAATACCAGCACAGAAACAATACCTGCACTTAACGTTTGCCCTGTGCTTTTTGATCCCCTTTTTCTCCCTCCTAATCTGAGCCCCTGACAGATCAATATATAAATTAAAAGACAAAAGAACCTGACACATCCTCTGTGGCTGGGAGAACAGACAAAGCCACACTTTTCTGGTGGAAAAACATCCATCTTTTGTACAATAAAGCAGCAATCTGCTGCTCCACGCCAAAATCAGCACCCTGAGAGGCACCCTCGTGTGATGGGCAACACAAGGGCTTTGTTTTAATTAAATTAAAAATGAGTAACCCATAAAAAACAACCCCCAGCCAAGGCCAAGGCCCCCAGTGTCACCCAGGGAGGGCTCTTGACAATCTCAGCACCATTTTCTGGGGTGCAAATCTGAGCTAAAGGGTTAAAAAAGAGGATTTGGGGTCTCCTGCTCACCCAGCTCCCCCCTTCCCATCACACTGCAGGGAAAGGCTGGGCTCAGCCTGTCCTTCCTAACATGGGGGAAAGCTGGATCCAGCCCAAAATGCATCATTTCAATCTGTCTCCGTGGCTTTTTCAGAGCACAGACACCTCTCCCAGCCCCTTCTCTCCCTCACTTTCCCTCCTCAGCCTTTTTTCCCCCCTGTTTATTCAGGAATTACCCCTGGGTTACCAAGAGATGGTTCCAGCCCAAAATGGGGCTTTTGCCACAGAGGGAAAACTGCTGGAAAAACCAAATTGTGCCCCAAAAATGCCTTGGGTGCTGCTGGCTGAGGGAACAGGAGCCCCCCCGGCCCCTGGTGCTGCATTTTGGAGGGCAGGGAATGGGGAGAGAACCAAACCTGCAGATCCTGAGGGTCTGTCCTGCCCAGGACCCAGCGTGGGAGGAACTTGGGAAGATTTAAATGTGGAGCTGAATCAATCCCTCGTGACTGGGAGCATCCAGGCTCCTCAGCTCCAGGATGAGATGATAAAAATTCACTTCAGAGAGAAAAAAAAAACAACCAAAACCACTTGATTTTCCTTCGGGATCTCACCCAGAGCAAAGTTGTGATTTTTCCAGTGGGGGAAAAGAACAAGAAAGCAAGTGAATCGTCAGCAATCAAAGGGATTTAGGGAATTCTGCTCAAGGAGGTGCTGCTGGGGTTGGGGTTGTCCAGGCTGGACTTTGGGGCTGGACACTGAACCCCAGAGCTCCCACTGGGCTCAGCTGGAAGGGCCCTGCACCTTGTGAACCCAAGCCTCACTATTTCCCTTAAAAACACGAGAAAAAGGGGAAAAAAAAATAAAATATCCAACAAGAACCACGAGAGCCTTACGGTGATTACAAGGAGGTTTAACACGTGGCTGGATTTGCATTAATTAAATCAACAGGGAAGCTCCAGTTGAGCAAAGGAGGTTTTCTGTAAATGGAGCTGGGAGCTCGGGTTTGTGCAGGGATGGGAAGGAGCTGCCAGGAGGGAGGGCAGGGCAGGGCAGGGCAGGGCAGGAGGAGAAGAAGGAGACTGTGAGATGTGAGATGTGAGATGTGAGGAGCTGGGGCTGTGCTGACACTGTGGGATTTCAGCAGTGGGAAGCTTTGGTGGGAGAGAGCAGGGAAGGAATGTGTCCATTCATAGCCCAGCCATGCTGCAAGCTCAGCTGTGAGGGGAATATCAATGGGCAGAGCCGTTGGAGTTGGGGGATTTTTTTGTTTGTTTTTCTGTTTTGTTTTGTTTTTTTTTTTTTTTAATTTTTAAAGTCACGGGTTTGAATATTGGCTGGAAAGGAACCCTTCCAACATCCCTTGGGGTTGGAACAGCCATCCTACAGCTGGGGGCTCCCTAAAATAACGGGGTTTGTGTTTCCTTCCCACATCCCTGAGAAGCAAAATCCCTCTGGATTTAGGGCTGTAAAACCCCAGAGTTCACATTCAAACCCCAACCTCTGCTGGAGGCAGATCAAACCCTGGGATAAACTTCAACCTCTGCTTTTTGCCACAAAACCTCCCAGGGTGGCACAGGCAGCCCAGGACAGCCCAGGACACCCCAGTTCTGTCCCTGGGGATGATCCCAGTTCCAGCAGAGCTCTCCCAGTCCCTTCCCTGCCCCTCTCCCAGCCCAGCAGAGCAATCCCAGTGATCCGGGATGCTGGGATGTTGGGATTTTGGGATGTTGGGATGCTGGGATGTTGGGATGCTGGGATTTTGGGATGTTGGGATGCTGGGATGTTGGGATGCTGGGATGTTTGTTGGGATCTGGGCTGGGGCAGGGTTAATTTCCGTGCAGTGCCGGGGCTGGGGCTGTGTTTGGGTTACAAAGAGGTTTTGTTGTGTCTGAGCAGCCTTTGAGCAGCTCCTGCTCCTCTGCCACCGCAGGGACCAGCCCGGGGGGGCACAGGGGGTTTGGAGGGGACACAGCCGGGACAGGTGACCCCGAGTGACCGCCGGGATATCCCACACCGAGCTCAGGATGGAAACCAGCAGGAGCAAGGATGGAGGGGGGAGCACTGGGAGTGAGGGGTTTGTATTCCCAGCTCACTTTTGGAAGTGGAAGCTCACTCTCTTTAGGAAGCAGGGAATGAATTCCTGCCTCCCCCTGCTCGCACACGGCTTTTCCTTTCCCTATTAAACCGTCTGTAACTCAACCCACAGCTTCCCTCAGCTTCCCTCAGCTTCCCCATTCTCTCCCCATCCCAGCGTGGGGCTGGGAAACCTTCCCTGTGAGCTCCGCCGGGAACTGTGCGGGGTTGGAGAAAAAAATCGGGAATTGTGCGGGATTGGAGAAAAGATCGGGAATTGTGCGAGGTTGGAGAAAAGATCGGGAATTGTGCGGGGTTGGAGCAAACACCGGGAATTGTGCGGGGTTGGAGAAAAGATCGGGAATTGTGCGGGGTTGGAGTAAACACCGGGAATTGTGCGGGGTTGGAGCAAACACCGGGGATTGTGCGGGGTTGGAGCAAACACCGGGAATTGTGTCTCATCTTTCCCCCCCGGCTGCGATGGAGATCGGGAGCATCGCGAGGGAGCCTGGGCGAGGATTTGGCTCCGGGCTGGATTTCAGAGCAGACGCAGTGAGCGGTGGGTGAGGAGAACGGGCTCCTCCATCGCACAGAAAACAGACACGAGCGGGGACACGGGGACTGCCCTGCCCCAGCAGCCTCGGGGCTTTTTTTGGGAACTCTTTCCTGGGCAGGATTTTTCTTCCAAAGCACAAAAGCTCTGGAGCGGGGAGCAGAGGGATGTGGAGGACAGGAGGATGGGGAATGAGCAGCTCGCCGAGAAGCGAAGGGTTAACAGATGCCAGAGCCCCCTGAGCAGAGTGTGCCACCCCCTCCCGAATCCTTTACATAAGAATTCCCAGCCTGTCTCAGCTGTGCCCCCGCCGTGGCTGATCCCGGCAGGAAAATGGGATTTGATTTCTGCACCAGGCACTGTCTCTCACGGTTAAACCGGGACCTGTCGGGCTCAGCCGTTCGTCACATCCAGCGACCTTGAATGTCCCCCAGCCACCCCAGCACAGCCCCGTCCCCAGGGCTGGACACGCTGCTTTGGGTGTAAAACATTGAAAAAATTAATATCTGGGAGGCTTAAAAGCGGCAGGGTCTGGTGGTTTTGTTCACATCAGTCCTTTGTGTGTCACTGGAGGAGACATTGAAAGATGATGTCCTGTCAGCTCGGGATGTCCCCTGTGCTGGGGGATGGCCCCTGAGCTCCTGCAGGTGCTGTTCCTGACCTCCCAGGCCACCCCAGAGCATCCCCAACCCCAGGGTTTGTCCCTCACTCAGTGCCCGGGAGGTGAGGATGTCGCCGTCACGGTGACACGAGGAACTCCGGCACTGGCGCTGCTTTTCCATCTCCATTCCATTTCCAACGCTCTTCCATTCCCTGCTGGGCTGGGAACGGGCTTTGCTGGCTCTCTTGTCACCCACTGTCACCTGCAGCTCCTGTCCGGGACGGCAGGGACGGAGCCGCCAGCCCCGCGGTGTCCCCGGGAGCGCGGGGACAATGGGGACAGATGGCACGGCGGGACCGGGCTGGCAGGGGCTCTGTGTGACGAATCCCTGCAGCTCCCCCGGCTCCAGCCCTTCCTGGGCATGGCTGAGGATCGGACCCCCCTCAAAAGCTCCCCTGACATCCCTGGTGTGCCCCGGGGTTGCTGCAGCTGCTTCCCAAGCTTTACTGCCACTGCCAGCACTTCCCCGTGCTGCTGGTGCTGCACGGCCGGGCTGGGCTGCTTCCCTTCCTCCCCCGAGGCTGATCCCAGTCCCCATCCCACAGGCTGATCCCAATTCCCCTGGCTGATGCTGATTCCCATCCCACAGGCTGATCCCAGTTCCCATCCCACAGCCCTGCACCACTGACTGCTCAGACTCCTCCTTCCAGCCATCCTGCTAAAATCCATCCTCCTCTTTTCCCCCTGCAGAGTTTAGGCGTGGACTCAGCCATCTGCACGGTTTTCCAGGACAATTATGGGATTTTCCTTGCCCTTGTGCTCGGAGCCCTGGTGCTGCAGCTCTTTTAGGTGTGGCTGAACCACCCCCAACCCACAGCGAAGCTGGGGATGGTCTTTAAAGGCCCTTCCAACCCAACCCCCTCTGTGGTTTTATTACTCTGCCACAGCCAACTCAGTCTTTATCCCTGAGGATTTTATTCCCCCAGTCCCACAGCCCTGAGGGCAGGCACACGAGCAGGGAGGGCTCTCCTGGCACATTCACAGAGCACCTCGGTGGCCACCAGCACTGTCCCCAGGTCCTGCTTTCCTCAGGGGTCTTCCTGCCCTGCCTGGCTCCTCCATTCCGGGCAAGCAGGAGTCACTTTCCCAGAGCCCAGCTGGCAGCAGTGCCCTCGGAGCAGCTACAGGCGAGAGGGGCTGAAAGGGACACCTGGAACCACCGAGTCCCCAACACCTTCCAGGAGCTCGTCCCACTGGCCAAACTCCTCCTGCAGCTCTGCACAGACGGTGACAGGGTTAGCACAGCCTCCCCTCCAGGGGACAGGGCCACCACAGCCCCGCCAGGAGCCACCGAGGGGCAGCCACCAGACCCCTGTGCTTTGGGAAGGACTGGCCCCAAGCCCTGGGGGACAGCAGCCACCCCACAGCCCCCCCAAACCAGGGCGTGCCCCCCACTCCCCCACCCTGGGCCATACTCAGGTGCCTCTGCAGGAAGGCCAGAGCTGCCCGGCTGGTGATGGCCAGAGCCTTGTGGGGGTCCAGGGTGCCTCTCCTGCCAAAGATGCGGCTGAAAAGCTTCCCAGGGAGGAAGGCAAAGTCGGTCTGGTCCTCGTGCACGGTTCCCCTGGCCAGGGGAGGGATGTGCATCAGTGAGATGTGCAGCAGAACCCAGAGGTTTTCCTGCTGGGACACCCGGGGTGGGGGGGATGCCAGCCCCTGGCTCACAGCATGGTCACAATCCTCGTCTGGCTGTTCCTGGAGCTCAGCCTCTTCATTTTGGCAACGCTCTCCGGAGTCTGGAACTTTTCGGTGTTGATGAAGAGCACAGGCTTGGGCACCTCCGGGTACAGCAGGTTCTCCAGAGGGAACATCCAGGCATCCAGAGCCACGGCACACCTGGAGCAGGACAGGCACCCACCGAGGCTCCCCGTGTCCCCAGAGCCACCACAGCTCCCTGTCCCTGCTGTGCCTTACCTGAAGCTGGGCTCCTTCACCAAGGCCAGCACCGCTGTCACCCCCCCGAAGGAATGGCCCATGATGGCCACTTTGGTCAGATCAAGGTTGTCCTGCAAAAGGGAGAGGGCTGAGGAGTCTGAGCTCTCTAATTAGGGAAGAAAAAGCCAAGGGAGGATCAGCAGAGGCTCCCTGGAAGGGAAGGAATGTCACATTCCACTGCTGGTGTGATGGGCTCTGGCTGCCCAGTGCCCACAGGAGACGAGAGGCTGCAGGAAGCCGAGGGGTGGGAAGCTGGGGCTCTGCACCTTCCTTACCCCAGGAGGAAAACTGCAGGAAGCCAGGACTGATCCTGCCTCCCAATCCATCACTCCGTGCTCGATTGCTCCTCAGGCACAGTCAGGCACAATCAGACATAATCAGACACAATCAGGCACAATCAGACACAATCAGGCACAGTCAGGCACAATCAGACATAATCAGACA